CCCGTCACATTTGGGCTTCCTGCAGCTAGACCCTCCCGCGGTCAGTCCCCACACCTGTTCCGGGTCCTCGGTCTGCCTGGCCCACATCCCCACGGAGGCTCCCACGCGGGAAGTGAAGGTGTGGGGAAGGCGCACGTGTGGACATGCTGAACTTGTAACTGGGCAGGGCAGAAGATTCCACACAGGACATCACTTCCGCTCAGTACACACAACCCAGCTTCTCTATTAATCTGCTTTCCCCGTTAGTGCAGATTTGTGGCGCACAGTGGGCGCACTCAGTGGGCTAGAGCGTGCGCACAGCCCCTCGTCCCCCTTCCTGCTCTCACGCCTTCCCCCTCTGACCTCTCCTTTACTTGCTTCCTTTCCTATTTGCAAAAGATCTCTCCCTGCTTCCTATTATTGATCATTTATTCTACCTTGTATTTACTGATACTTTTAGATTCTCACATAAACTAAATTACACTATTTAAGAGTATGTGTCTGATTATTTCACTTAGCATTATGTTCTCAAACTGCATCCATTTTCCTGCAGATGACTCGGCTTTATCCTTCTTTATGGCAGAGTGATACTCCACTGTGTGAGTTCACGCACTCGCCTGTGGACGCAGGCACAGGCTGCTGCCAAGCCTTAGTTATTGTGAGCAGCGCTGCTACAAGCGTAGGTGTGCGCGGGTCACTGTGACACGACGCCCATAACACTTTCAGAAAGACACCTCGTGGGGAAATAGCTGGGTCAACTGAAGTGCAGGCGTTTCTGGTTTTAGTTTTTCATCAAGTCATTGAACAACAAGTGCTGGTGAGGCCATGGGGCACAGGTCCCTCTGCACCGCCGGTGGAGTGAGCCAGTTCAGCCCCTCTGGAAATCAGCACGGAGAGCCCGCAGGACACGTGCCCTAGTCTTCTCACCTCCACAGGAGTGGCGGGGGCCCTGAGTCCCCTCAGACCCGAGGCCCGCTTTCCTCTCTGGAGCATGCGAGCTTCACACAGGCAGATGCAGGTAGCTTTCTGAGAGCCGGTCTGTCCCAGCCAGCCAAAGGCTTCTGGCTCGTCCAGTCAGAAAACACAAGTCCTATAATCCAAACAAACACCCTTGAACTGCTTCATGAGCAAATCCTCCTCCTTCCCATGGCATTCCTGCTGTTCGCCCGTTGAGCTTTGTAGTCTCTCCCACCTCATCTGTTGCTGTCATCCACCTCGTTCCCCACACCCCACGGGGGCTCCTTGCCCTCACCAGTCACCCGCCCCCCTACCACCCTCCAAGTCTGCGATGCCAGCTCTTTTCAGAGCACATTTTCCCTTCTTAGCATTCCATGGGAAAGGCCCTCTGCCGTCACTTCAGCACCGCGAGGTCCGCTCTTCCCTCTCTGTGCAGGGTGGGTGCCCACCTCCCCGAGATGAGCTGCTTCTGCACGGCCTGTTTTCTACACCTGTCATCCACCTGCTCTGTTCTTCATGTCGTGTATAGCCTTCTCTCAGGATCCACTCATGCTCTGTCTGCTGTCTGGTGAGAAGGTGCGAGCTGCTCATGCCCTTGACCAGGTCAGGATGACCGTGGTCTCAGTGGCGGGAGGTCGGCCTGGCCCCTCCCAATGCCTCGGTGTCATGGCTTCCATTTTGCTTTTAGGATCACAGAGCTAAGTAATGTGATTTTCGTGGAGGGATATGAGTCATCTTTCTGTCACTGTGACAAAATGCTTGAGAAAATCATTTACAGAAAGAAAGCTTCGTGTTGGCTCGTGGCGTCGGGGGTTTCACTCCGTGGACCTGTGGCTCGTTGTTGGGGCCAGTGGTGAGGGAGGGCTCCATGGCGAGAGGCAGAGGGTGGGCAGTGTCATGGTGGCCTGGAAGCATACAGGAAGGATTGCCCTCCCTAAGGCTTTCACGAAGGCCTTTGGCCCTGCCACACACTGCCTGGCCTCACAGGCCTTCTTTTGAAATCTGGATGGAAGCCCTCATGACCCCACAACTCTTGTACTCTGCAGGGCTGCAAACAGCTGCACAAAGCCTGCCACCATGTTGAGCAGCAGCCAGGGCCCTTGGGCCACAGCTGTGGTGCCTTCTGGATGGCGGAGCACAATGAAACAGACCCTGGGCGGGCGACTTCTAGGCAGGCCTGGGCAGCCAGGGCACCAGGCACTCTTCTCAAAGCGAAGTCTTTGAAAGAGGACCAATGGTTATGTCTGGATATCTGCCTCCTGGAAGCCACGTATAGTCATAGGAGGGGCTCTTGGGAAATGATGGGATCCGAGGTGTGCGACGCTGGGTCAGCTCACCAGTGAGGGTATAGCTATGTGTGACGTTGGTAAGTGACACCTGATGGGGAAAAGGCGCAAATGTGGCCTGGAGTGGCATATGTGCCTCCACTCCCCCCATCATGGGTCGCTTCCTGCTGCCGTGCCGTGGACTGCCTCCCCTCCACATGCCCCTCTGTCCTCTGCCATGCCTTGAGGCCAACTGACTGTAGACTGAAACTCCTACAAACTGTGAGCTAAAAATATACCAATTTGTGGGCATCAGGTCTTTTGGCCCAGGAACAGGTAACTATGACTGAGCCCACAGGGAATGGAGCGTGGCCAATTCCTGAGATGCCTTCAGAGCGTCTTTTTGATTGCCCAGGGGCAAAGTACTTGATTTCTCTTTAATAACATGAATCTCTGCAGCAACTGAGCCTTCCCTAAACTCTGTTTTACAGGAGATTTATTTCTGATGAAACAGCAATATCGCAAATCCTTCTCCGCTTTCTGTTGCCAGTTCTCAGTCTAAATCTGGCTAAAGGCATCCAGCACGAACGTACACTGCCCTGAGATTTCCCCCACCAGATGAACTAGACATCCGCCGCTTCAAACTCAGCCTCACACAATCTCAGACTATGAACAAAGCATACGCACATTGTTTTACTAGATTGCAACACCCATGACCGCTACTCCGGTTCCTACTAGTGTCCTCATTGCTATTCGAAAGCTCCTGAGCCTGGCTTTTTCTGTCCACATTCCTATCACCATTCTGATCTTCTGAGTTCCGACCCCCACTGCGCTTTAATCTCCTCCTACAGCACGCGAGGGCCTCTCTAGCCTGTTTCTATAACATGTTCTTTGCTCCTCTTGCAGCCCAGTGCCAAAGGTTTCTTAATCACATTGTCCATTCCAGTCACAAGAGTGACCCCAGTAACAGTGTCTATATTAGTCAGTTTTCTGTTACTGTAACAAAACACCTGAGGAAAGAAACTTGAAGGTAGAGGAAGTATTGTGTCTCCTGGCTCCCAGTGTTCCAGGCCTTGGTCCCTAAGCTCTGTTATGTCCCAGCTTGTGTGAGGCAGACACTGCAGCACAACTGTCTCTGGGGCTCATGATAAAGACAAGGCTCCCAGCTGGTGCCACTGGGGGGAGACGGCTGGATGTTTCAGAGATGAGGTCTAGTTAGAGGACGTGGCTCCCTGGGCTCATAGCTCTGAAGGTCATGTGGGGGCCCTGCTCCTTCCTCTCCCCCCCCCTGCTCCCTGCCACTGTGTGGCAGAAGCTTTCCCACCACCCCTTCCAGGTGATGTTCTGCCTCAACACTGGCCCAGAAAGAGCACAGCCAAGTGACCACGACTGAAACCAGGGATGAAAATAAATCTGTCCCCCCCCCCAAATTGATTTTCTCGTGTACTCTGTCACCATGACAGAAAGCTGATGAACACAGAGAATGAAGTCCAGCCTGAAGGCCAAAGACCTGGGCTTCCTCACATTAAGTCATCATAAGTCACGGGGCCCTTACGTTTCCAGCTTTGTCCCCCTTCCTCAGCTCTTCCTGGTACCCCAGATCATGGGTCCAGGCTGCCCCCCTCTTGTGGAGGGAAGGAGCAATGTTCTCATGTGGTGGCTACACCCACAGACCCAGCTCCCAGGTGCTCCCCTCATCCCACATCCACTCCCTCTTTTAGACGCACCTGGCACCCCGGTCCCCGAGGAGAAGGCCCGGGTGTATGGGCCACCCTGCTTCTTAGCTTTTCTGGCTGACAGCTTGCGAGGCAGTGTGAAGTCCTGTGGATGCATTTTCCCCTCTGCACCTGCTTTCCAGTGGCCCAGGCCTGCTGCCACCGCAGTGTAGGTGTCTTGGAAAGCAGCCCCTCCACCCTGCAGGAAGGACGGAGGAAAGAGAGGATCCATTTGGCCCAACCTGGTGTGCTCTTCCTCAGCTTACTGATGGGCAAATTCAGCGCAGAAAAGCCAAGTGTGAGGCAGCAATGGGTCGAAGAGCGGGCCCCACACCAGACCTGGGCAGGACTACCGGGTGCAAGCAGCACCGTGGCGCGTGGCCTGACCGGCCTCAGGGGGCTGTGGCCCAGGCCCGTCCTACAGAGCAGGCTTGGCACGGCCCTGCGGCAGCAGTGCAGGCGCCTGGGCGTGCGCCGTGTGCCCCGTGCTGCTCTAACGCCTTTGTCGATCCGTTTACGCATGTCCACGGCTTTATGAGAGACACTGTTATTCTTTCACTTCGTGGAGGAGGAGAGGGGTGTGCAGAGAGGTTACAAGCTATCTGAACTCACACAGCTAGGGAGTGGTGGCTCTACAACATAAACCAAGACTGGGCCGTTGCAGCCCTGGCACCTCTGCGGCTCCCGACTGGGTGTCCCGTCAGGTGGGCACTCCTGGTCCTGCAGGCTATTGAGCTGATCCCTGGCCTGCATCCACTAGAGCTCTGCAGCCCCCTTCAGGTGTGACAGACGTGAACAAACATCCCTGCGAGAAATTGACATCCCGCCCGAGGACGTTGAACCAGGTGCCTGGCGACATTACCACTTGTTCTCAGGAAGGTCCGCAGGCCCCTTCCCTCCCACTAGAACTGGACAGCCAGGCACTGACCCCAGGCCTGGCCAGGTCCCGCCGCCCCTCCCCTGCCCTCCTCAGCCCTGGATCACCCACCATCCTTTGCACCAGACCTGACCGGGGCTGCTGGGCACAGCCAGCGCGCCTGGAGAGGCCCCATCTGACGTCGCGTCTCTCACCACCTCCCCGCAGGGCCAAGGTGAAGAAGGGGGTGAACATCCTGAGCACTCGGACCAGTGAGCCGCGGCAGTGGGACGTGAAGCAGGAGGTGGGCAACGGCGGCAAGCACACCACGACCACGGTGGCCTGCCAGCGCCTGGGCCCGGGTGCACGCAACAGGTAAGCGGCCCTCACCTCACGGCATGGGGGTGTGTCCTGGTCCTGCGCGAGATCCCGAGTCCAGGCCCAGCTCGGCCTTGCCTTTCCCAAGGCAGGCAGAGCTCTGGATAGCCCAGGCGAGCCCCCCGGAGGTGGCCAGAGGAACTGCAGCACCTTCCCTGCACAGCCCCCAGCTCTACCCGGGTTTCTCTGGTCCGAGGTCTGGCGTTGGGGCAGAGCGATGTCACCCCACTGTGCCTGGGCTGACACCTCTGTCCCCCAACTCCTCTCAGGCCCTCCCTCTCTGGTGGGTCAAGGACCCTTTGTTATGAGCTACTCACTTCTGTAGAAAAGGTCAGGTCCATCTCTTGGGAGAAGAACTGTGAAGACAGGTGCTGACCGCAGGGGTGGTAACAAAATAAGGGTGCGCTGCGGCAGACTCTCCACAGATGCGGAGTGCGTCGTAAGCCTGGTGCTGTCGAATGCCTGTGTTGATCCACTTAAGCATCTCCGTGGCCTTATAACCGGGTCAATATTATTCTTTCAATTTACAGGAGAGGAAAGGGGTGCATAGGGAGGCTGTAAGTTACCTGAAGTCACACCGCTAGCAAGTGGCGGCTCTAGGTATACTCTGAGGGCCCGGGCCCCGCTGAG